GTCCTGGGCGGCCTCTCGCAGACCGACTCCCGTGACTACAGCCTGGTGACGGCCAGCTGCGGCTTCGGCAAAGATTTCCGCAAGGGCATCCTCAAGAAAGGCATGTGCTACGGGGATGACGCCTGCTTCGTGGCGCGGCACCGCTCCGCCGATGTGCTGGGTAAGTGCTGCGGGAGCTCTGGCCGAGCTCCCTCCTTCCCTCCCCGAGCCGCACATGGTCGCGCAGACAAAGGAGCTGCTTCTGCCTGTCAGTGTCGGCGTGAGTTCGCTGTTCGAGCCTCCCTAGGAAGCTCTTCGCTGCGGCTGAGCCTCTGGGATGGGTGTCGTGTGTGCCGGGCTGGGTGTTTCACCTGTGGGTGACTGTAAGACCCAGTGGCTCCCAAAGTCAGAGGAACAGCTCCTGGTGCGTTTCACTTTCTGTCTGCCCTAAAAACCTAACCCAGGCCCTGCGTCTTTGTGTTGTATTTCCCTAGAAAAGAGCGCTGGGACAGACACTTCCTGATTTCAGCGTGTGCTGTGTCCTTGTCAAGTGAAAGGCAAAGTGACATTGAGGCTGGAATCAAATGTCAAACTTCAGTTTCGGTGTTTGTTCTGGCCTGGTTGTGCTCTCTGGTTTAGATTCACGTGTGAAATGAATCTCAAGGGCTTGGATTTTAGAAGGAGTGAATAATTGTGGATAATGAGTGGAATCTTGAGGCCATGGGCAGCACTGCTTTGGACAGTGCTTGACCTTTCTCGTGTGTACTCAAGGTTGAACTTCGCTGCTTGACACTCTGCACGAGTTAGGTGTGGGGGCACTGCCAGAGGCCAGTTTTCACCCAAACTTTCACACTTGATAGCTTCCTTCCCCCTGCCCCTGCTTTCTTTTGGGGGTATGTACTCATTTAAAGCTGCTGGGATTGCTCTGTGCTCTCTCCTGCTGTGACAGTGCTTGGTGACTCCTCACAGTTTGCTGCTGTCGCTGTAACTTGGTTGCCATTTAACAGAGCTGAGACATCTTCTGCAGGAAGCTGTGACTTGGTGCTAGGTAACAGGATTGCTGCTTATTCCCAAGGGAGCTGTTCCTGGCAGGGTGATCCTACAGCTTTCAGGGACATATGGAAAACGGGTCAGTGCATTTCAGACACTTTGCATCTTTTCTGCTGTGCCTGTTCCAGAGAAATGTTTTTTGCTGAGAATTAGCTGCTGGACACCCCTGAGCACGTGACTGAGCTTGGCTGCCTTGGAAGTTCATGCTGGGCCAGCACTGATAAATAACTGAGCAACTGCTGTTTGCCCCGGGGGCAGTGCAGAATCTCCTTCCCTCCAGGGTGGACTCTTTGCACCACATTCTTTGTGGGTAGATTTAGCCCCATTTGATGCTGTTTAGGGGGTTTTGGGCCATATTTGGGTATTACTGTATGTGGACCTACAGCTTGTTGTGTCTTCCTGCTGGAACCAACAGAGTTGCCTTTCTGAGTTGGGCTTTGCATTAATTTTCATGGCAACTTGAAAACAAACAGGACTGTAGCTCCACTGAAGGATCAAACAGCTAAGAGGGCTGCAGACCTGGGTGTGTGAAGTTTGGTTTAAATGGAAATGCTGTTGATTTGTCTGTTTTGGGGTTTTTATTCCCTGTAAGGCTATTTTCATGTTAGCTCTTTATTGCTTTTTTTAATGTGTATACCAAGAACACAAGATCCCTGTACTTTCTGCAGAAAGTCATGCTCAGATGGGTTTGTTTGGTTTGATTTTTCTTCATCTGTAGCTCTTAAGTTTATAACCAGTAGTTTTCTTCTTGTTTCTGCTGCTGTGATCATCCCTTTACTCTCCCTTTCTCAGCCAGCTCTTTTGCACTGCTGCAGAGAGTTAGTTTCAGCACCACCAGTGTTTTCCTGCCAGTTTCTCTTACTCTCATCACAAATCTGAGGTTTCTTCATGATTTTATTAAAGACCCTCATCAATTTTGTACTAACTCATTACCTGCCAAACTCTGCACCTCAGCAAAGCTGTCAGAGCTGCCACTTTTGGGTTTCCAGCTTAATTTTTTGGCATTTAGCAAAAAGCCTCACGTGGTTTGAGCCAAAGGGAACACTTGACACAGTAAGTGCTTTTAGAGAACAGTAAATTTCGAGTGTATCCCTTGGAGTTAGTAGTCATCAGTGAAAAAACCATGCCAGATAATTAACTGAAAATTCTTCTGTGCCAACCTTTGCCAGAACCAGTGCATGGAGAGGCTGCGTGGGATGGAGCTGGGTGTGGTGGAGCAGGGAGGGAGCTACTCCCAGCCTTTGGCATGAGTGCTTGGGGATTCATTTTCTTAGGTCAAACAAAAGTTGACTAGGCAGAGTGTTTATAGCAGAATCAAAATGCTAAACACTTCTTTTGTTGTCCGGGCTGTGTTTAGCAGTGTCTTCCAGTCAGAGCTTTATCCGTTCACTATAAGATCAGCACAAAGCTGATGAGGATTCAGGTTGTTTCTAGGCCTGTTCCCGATGTGCTTGAATCCTTGGGGGTTTTGGCTCTTACTTTTACTTGTGTCTGGGACAGACCTGTCGAATTTGCATGTTTTCTCCCTATTCTGAGCACAGGGTGAACCAAGGATCTCAGAACCAGAGTGTTTCCTTAGGGATCCCTCTGAGAGAGGAAATGGCTTTACTGCTAATGTTAATCTCTGGAGCTTTATGATTCAGGCCTGCATTTCCTTTCTGCTGCTCTTGCACCACATTGTACCTTGTGGTTCATTCAGTGTCAGTGTCTTGGGTGTCCAGATCTCAGAGTACTCAGATACCACTTGGGAGAAGTTCTATACTGTTCAAGTCTGAAGCCTTTGTGACTCTTGAGGGCAGAAATGCAGGTTTTTCAAAGCTGAACCCCCAAACTCTGCAGGAACTGACACCTCTGTTTTTTCTCTTTAGCACTGGTGTAGAATTTTTAGTACATATGGAACAAACAAAATTTTTCAAATGGTTTTCTAGCCATTACCAAAAGTGAACAATAAAGCCCTTTTAGAAATGTTGAGGTATCTCATGCTGGTGATTGTTTCTTTCCTTATTGTTAGGATCTGCCTTTTCTTGCTCATTCCTGCCTTATCAGGCTCCTTTGCTAGTTTTTTTATGGATTTTCCAAGCTGTTGTGTGACTCATTATTGAAACGTTGCAGCAGCCAATGCACATCCCGTGACAGCATCACTTATACAATGTCTGTGCTGGGTACAAGTTCGGGTGTAGCCAGTGTGACTTGACGAGTCCTCCAAACTATTTCTGTCCCCCAGGAGTAGGAAAAAACTGTCTGGCAGTAAGGAACTGTTTGTCCACTGCAGAGTTAAAGTTTGACAGCTCTTCTGTCTGCTGCAGATCTCGGTTTTTGGTTGTTTGGGGCGGGTGCTGCAGGGCAGATACTCTGACCTGAGAGGAGCTGCACTTTGTTTGGAAATGGAGTTTGTCAGCAGTGCAGAACTCCAGAGGGAGAAACCCCTGGAATATTGTTAGTCTCACTGTCATCGAGTAAAGTAAACTTACAACATGCATAAGGATTTGTAGATGAAATGTCAGGGTTGTTCTGGCAGCTGTAGAGGAGGAAGGGATTCTTACTTGGATGCCTGAAGGTTATAGAGGACTATGTTAAGTGGTTTATTTGGTATCATACCTATTAAAGAGATGCTGCCTTAGCACAACTTATCACACTGAGGGAGCAAATCGTCTGCCTCCCCCAGAGCAGCCTGTCAGAGTGCTGGGGGAGCTCAGGACACCTTACAGGGAGTGAGCAGTGTCTTGGTTTGTAACAGACCACATGAAGCTTTTGATTCGACAGGGAGCATGTGCTGTTGTGTAGAGAAGCTGCAGGTTGAGAAACATCCCATTCAGTCAGAAGTCCCAGACTGAAATAGGCAGAGCTGAGCACGGTGCAGGAGGTGAGGGTTAATCGTACCTGCGGTGCAGGAAATGTTCCAAAAATCTGCTGTTTGCTGTGGTTTGTTTGTGCTGCCTGAGGTGGATCTGTGTCTGCCCCCAGAGCCTGTCCCTGCTCATCTGTTCCACAGTTGCTGAACACCTGGAGAGATTAAGTAGTTATAACTCAGGAATTTTTTACAGAACTTGCAGAACTAAATAATTGTTCGGTGTTCTCCTGGAGCTTCCAAAATCCACAGAGTGATTTCTCAAGCTTAAATAAAATAGGGAAGAGATCTACCTGGTAAAATCCTGTTCCAGGAACAGCAGTGTGCAGGGGAAGGGAATAGATACAATAAACTGTAGTTTTTTTCCTGGAAGTAGACATACAGTTTAATGTTTTCAGTTCCCTCTTTGTCCTTCAGTTTGTTCTTCAACATCATCTCTCACTGTGCCTCTTGCTTTTTGTTCCTTCTTGTTGGAAGTTACTCTTCCAGAACCTTTCTGTCTCTGCAAGAGCAGTTTAAGGTTTACTGTGTGTGTTACAGTGTGAATAAGTAACCTTCCCTTTTGCAGCCTGTTCACAGTCACACACATCCTGCCTGTGGGGCTTTGTGTCCAGCTGGGCTGTTTCTTTGTCAGAGAGACACCGTTTGGCTCCAGCAGACCCACACACACTGCCAGGGAAGCTGCTGGAGGGTCAGCACTGCTTTGCTTTGGATGGAGATTTCTGTTTCAAACTTGGGTGCTGCAACAGATTGCACTGCATTTTATCCTGTTATTTTTGATGCCTAATGGATTCAGTCTTATATATATCTTTTTGATGTTCTTTTATCAGTGATTCATTGCTATTTCAGGTAAGGAGCTCAAGAAACTGAAGGTTCAGTAGGATGTGTGGAGTGCCTTGGAAAGTGGATTGTGGTTGCATGCACAAGCAGGTGCTGCTGACACACTGTGCCTGCTGCTGCTCCTCAGCGTGGACCGAGTTCTTGGCTGATGCCAAGTTTGGAAGTACCCACCTTCCAGGAGGCTGTTGGGACAGGGTGGTACTGCCTGTGGGCAGGTCAGTGTGTCAGCCAGCCAGAACCTGCCCTGACAGCACTGTTGATACTAAACAGGGTTTGGCTGGGGTTGTGGGTCTGTTGGGAGCCTGTAGCCTGGTGAATTTGTTTGCTCTGAGCTGCACACCTGGATCTCACTCACACAGGTGTGTGCTGAGAGCAGATCCTGCTGGTTTCAGCTCCAGCTTCTGCAGTCAACCTCCTGTGCTGGCAGGCAAAGCAACCTCTGCACTGCAACTGGTGCCTTGTCCCAGGTGCTGTGAGCGTTCTGAGATCAGCTTTGCCAAGTGTCACTGCCAGTGCCTTCCCTGGCTCAGTGTCAGTGCTGCAGCATCAGTGGCTGGTGCTCTGTCCTGGAACTTGGACACGTGTTTCTCTGTGAGGGATTTTGGTCCATGGAATCTTTGAGAAGTTGGGAAGAGCTAGTTTTGGACTGACACATGCAGCAAGTATGTTATCTGGCAGTTGTGCTTCTGTGTTTTCCAGCAGAAGGCGATGAAGTGGAGTGTTAGACTCTCAGGGATTCTGAAAGGTCTCCATAACACAGTTAAATACTTGAGAAGTGTTTATTGTTTGGAAGTAATTTATGGTGAAGTTTACAATTGCTTTATTTACAGTGGTGTTCATCTGGCTGCAGGCATTGCACTGTCACTGTCCTTTCTGATGGGCTTGAGCAGGGACTAGCCACAGGAATGTTCTTTCTGTGAAATTGTCTGATTTTCTGAATAGCTTGAAAAATCCCCAGGATTGTCTGCAGTTCAGTTCAGCAATTCTCAGCTGCAGTTTGTCTGAAATGGTCTGTGATTCCAAGTTTGTGGCCTGGGTAATACTGGAAGACAGTGGTTTATGGTTCAAATGTAAGGACATGGAAACCTGAGTAATGATTTTGAATATTTACCCTTTTTTTGTTTTGGATGAAATAAAGAGAATCTTAAGTAAGTAGAGCTTCGCATTATTCCTTGCAGTGATCCTGCCCATAGCAGGACCTTTGGATTCTCCTTCAGTGGCAGAGGGAAAACATGGTATTTCCTCAAAGGTTGAGTTTTCAGTTCCTGCTGCTTCAGGAGTTTGAAATCTCTCACAGTTAGTTTTGCTCTTTGTTTGCTGTATATTAAATACCACAAAGTTTTCTTAAACTTTATTCTCATTTACATGTAATCTATTTCAGTAGGAGTTTACTCAATCTGTTTCAAAATCACATATTCCTTTCCCATGAAACTGTTTAGTTTATAGAGGATGTAGAGTGTCAAGATGCTGTTCTTATTTTAAACCCGTGGTGAAGGCAGGACAGGATGGCTGAAGATCTTGGGGAATGTAGAACTCTTCCTTGAAGGCAAAAGCAGTAAGGGCAGATGTTCTGTGGGCAGCCCTGTGTGCTGTGGGGGTCCTGGGTCTGCTGGGCCTGCAGGGATGTTGATCTCCATGGAAGCAGCACCTCCTGCCTCAGTGCCAGAGCAGGAGGAAGCATGTGCTGCTCTGATGGTGTTTGTGAACCATGTTTGGGGAACCAGTAAGGTCATGTGGCTTAACTCAAGTGAGCTGACCCATTAGAGTGAGAAAGCCCCACATTTTCCACACAGGGCAAGGGCAGGAAATAGTTGCGGGTGGTGGCGCGTGAGTCGGTGTGATCTGAGGAGGTGTTCAGAGCGAGCCAGGAGAATCAGGTGGCACACTCCTGGTTTTGCTTTAAAGGTTGAATAGGTTTTGGTAGCAAACACTCCTCAGGGGCCTGCTCTGACAGCCTTCTGGGACTCCCTGCCACAGCTGCAGTGTTTCTGTTCCAGGGTTTCCCAAGGCTAATGTAGAATAGTTTGTGGATCACTTGAGGGAACTCCCTGACTTCTGCCGAGCTTGCTTTGGAACGGCCCTGGGAGCCAAAAGCCTTGGACAGCACTTGTCAAACAGCATCTCCTCATTGCATTCACACTGTAGTCAGTGAAGCAGTGCAGAAGTACATCTGGGTTGTGTTCTTCTCGAAGGGGAGGAACAAAAAAGCTTCTCTGGTAATGTCAGGTGAAACAGCATCGTCTGACCTGGGGCTTAGTTTCTACTTCAGGTTCTAGATCTGAAACTTTTCCTTTGTGATCTCTTCTTCTAGACTTGTCTGCATGGCAGCAGAAAGCAAAGGGTTTAATCCAGTGTTAACCTGAGGTTGTGAGAACTGTAGGGAGAGGATTAATCTGTTCTTAAAGACTCCAGAAAAGACCTTTCCAGGAGTGCCCGAGGTGCTTTCACATGAGCTGCGTCCCAGGGTCTGTTCCGAAGAGGGGAGCGCAGGGATCTCGTTCCTGTCACGTTTCCTGAGAAAGCAGAGGGACGAAGCAGGTGTCTAAAGGTTGTGCACTATTTTAGGGAGAAATCTGATTAATGCTGATAGGCTGTTCAGATCTGGCTGTAACCTCCTGTCAGATTATAGTTCACGCCAAGGGCAGCTCTAAACCTTCCGTCTCGCTTTCGGACGCCGTCCGTGTGAAGGGCGTTGGGAGAGGAGGAAGCTCAGGCTCATGTCCTCACTCAGATTCCCTTGCCTTTGCAAACAGTGGAATTTTTTCCTGAGGAGGCAGTTCTGAGCTCTGACATTCACCCTTCATGCTTTTCTCATGGATATGTTTTAGCTTTATGATGTTATGGAAACCTGTGCTTGAAATGGTCAGTCCCATGCTGAGGATCAGAAAGATTACTGGGAAAATTTCCATGTAGAAATATTTTAATCTCACATAATACCTGCAGCAGTATTCCACTTTTATCACCTAGGTAGTTTGAGAAAGTTCGAAGCTCCTGTAGCCAGATGGGCAGGAGAATGTTGTCCCTGCTGCTTCCCTCCCTCTGACCACCCTCATTCCATGAGCACCTTCGCTGGTTCCCTCTGCTGTGGCTCAGAAGCTTCCCAGGCTTTGGAAGAACTGGTCTGATTTTCTGGGATCCAGGTTGTTTTCAGTAACTGAATGAAAATTGCCTGGATCATAGTCAGTTTCCATTCTCTTTCCTGGCTGAAGCTGTAAGCACAAACTCTCCTTGGAAGGGACAGGTCCCAGTTTGTGTTGGCTACAAGGATTTTGGAATACACTTGTGAAATGGAGGTTTAGTTTCTATGGAAATAGAGATTCCCAAATAGATTATCCTTCCTATGAGCAGGTAGCTTGAGAAAAAACTGGGGAAGAGTTTTTTTGTCATTTCTGTATTGTTTAAAATCTCAACAGCCATCACCTTTCAAATTAGCAAAACTTCTTCCTTTTTAATGGGCTAGTCAAAGGTTAATGTGATCGAATCTGTCTTCCCCCCACGTTGCCTGTGCTTTGTTCCCTACTGGAGTCAACCTCCTCACAGAGTTCTCAGCTTCAGGCTTAAACCTTGTCCCCAGCAGGTAAGGTGATACCGGGAGATTGGTCTGGAGCTGATGGCAGAAATGTTTGTTGATCACAGATGTTTTTGGAGCAGGTGCTGTGTCCTACCTTTCAGTTGCTAAATATCACAGCTGATGTAAATAATTCAACACCTTGTTTTGGAAGCCATTTCTGTGCACCTAACTCACTCTCTGTTTCCCTGCAGGGGTGGCAGATGGCGTAGGTGGCTGGAGAGACTACGGGGTTGACCCTTCTCAGTTCTCAGGGACTCTGATGCGGACGTGTGAGCGTTTGGTGAAGGAAGGACGGTTCGTCCCGAGCAATCCCGTGGGGATTCTCACCGCAGGATACTGCGAGCTGCTGCAGAACAAAGTACCTCTGCTTGGTAAGAGCACAGAGCTGTTGTCGCTGCCTGCTCGTGTCCTGGGTAAGAGCTGCTGCTGGTGTTAGCTCCCACACCAAACTGCAGGCAGGCAACTTTAGCTGACTAGAACACAGACATGGAGCTGTCTTGGCAGCATCCGGATTTTTTCCTTGTATGTTTAAACACTGTGTTGATTAATTTAGTAATGCAAGGGGTGTTTGTGTGTGTGTAGGTATGAAATAAAAGGCCAGCAGCCTGTCTGTGTGCAGGGTGGATTCAGCAGAGTCTGCAGAGTGAGCTCTGCAGCAGAGCAGGCTGTGGCACGTGTGCTCACTCTCTGCTTTGTATGTACAAAGAACTGTTCTCTGTCGAAGCCTCTTAGTGGTTGGTTGTGGCTTTTTGCTTGAGCTATGCAAGGAAAAATATTTTCTGAGGATAACTGGATGCAGTTCTGCTCATTCCTGGCCTGGCTGCTCCTGTTGCCTTTTATGTCCAGTGAACTCAAGCCCCAGTTGGCTGACTTCTGTAGTTTATATCACACAATCTCTGCAAGTACTACTTTTATAGATCTTTGTGGGGGATTCATTACAGATTTCTCTCAAAGCCAAACTGGAGCAGATGCTTCACATGCTCTGTGTCAGCCTTGATTTGAGCCAGGGCACTCAGCTGCCTGGGGAGTGGCGAGCAGGGAGGTGACACTTGGCCTCAGCTGTGGCAGCCTTGCCAACAGAGCCCTGTTCTGAAGGGCATGTGACCTCCTCCGTGCCAAGGAAGCGTTGCCCTGCGTGATCCGCGCGCGGCTCACCTGACCCGCAGCTCCTGTGCCAGAGCAGTGCTGTGTGCTGTATTTAACGTGTCTGCTGAGCCTGGAAACAGATGTTCTCGCATTATATGCCCCAAGAGCAGTGCCCTGAGGTTCTGCAGGGTGGCAGTGGTCAGTGAGGATTGGTGTGTTTGGGCAGGGCACAGGGCTGTGAGGGGGCCTGGAGCGGGGCCTGGCAGAGCTCTCCCCGCGGCTCTGCAGGCAGCATTGCTTGGCTTGACCTTTCCAGCAGCGTGTGCTGAGTCACAAGATCTGCATTCCACACGTGGCCTCCCGGTTACACTCTGCTAATGGAGCTGGAATTTGAAACTAATGATCCTCCGTGTTTCTCCTTTAACCCAGAGCGGTGTTTCTGGAAGGAGAAATGAAACTGGCATTGCCACGGCAATGAGCTTTTGGAGTTTATTGAAGATAAAGTGAAAGGACAGCACTTCATTAAGGAGGATTCATTAGGCGATAGCTTTCCTTGCTGTTGTGCTTTTAGCCTGGACACTTAGTTCATCAGCACTGAATCCAGCAAACAGTACAAATAAAACCGAAATGGGAAGAAATGGTGCTGTTTATTTAAACACCGTTGTGTTGCAGAACAGTCTTGGATGCTGTCACATGGAAAAGCTGAACTTCCCTGAGGTGCTGCTTTGACTCACCAGGCAGTAAGGGTGGAGAAGGCCCTGTGTGTTCCCAGGAGAACACATTCAGGGCGAGTGTGTTGCAGGGAGCTCTGTATTAGAAGGGGAAGCGTCTGGAAAGGCGATGCCTGGAGCCAGCTGGACTGGTGCACCAGCAACCCTGATCACAAGCTTAGCTCACTGCAGGTTGTGGTCTGTCCAGCATGTAGCTGTGCTTGGAAAACCCTGCTGGAAGAACATTAGGGTAGGAGATGAAGGCTGTTGACGAGCTGGTGATGTGGGACAGAAGCCCAGGAGAAAGGCTGTAGGTGTACTCACCCCCCCTGAGGAAGGGAAGGTCTTTTGGTGGACGTGCTGTCCTGTTTGCTGTGAAGGACTTCGCGGTGGCTTTCTTTGCAGCAGTTCTTTTTGTGGCTTGCAACCAAGCACGACTGGTGTGGGGTGGCTTTCTTTGCAGCAGTTTTTTCTGTGGCTTGCAACCAAGCACGACTGGTGGCTACTTCCCAGGGAATGGATCCAGAATTCCTGGGTGCCCTCAGGCACGGCTGGGGTGGTGCTGGGCACTGCTGACATGTTTCTGTTGTTGCTTCAATCTGTCATCCTGTTTGTCTCTGAAACGTGTTTTCTTTAAACTTGTGAGTTGGTGTCCTGAAGGCTGAGCATGATTAATCCACTGTGAACCTGAGGCAAGTTGTGCACAGCCACACTGTGAAGGAGAGCATTTGAATGCCCTGGGCAGAGAAATGCAGCAGACCTAAAACTTAATTGCCCACAGTTCTGTACTTGGTGTGGTTTATTTACAGCTGATGAGTGGAACTGTGTGGAGAGCTCCTAGCATTGTATGGATGCTACTAGAATTCCATTATCTCCATCATTTTGGAATTTCAGTATTTTATGTGAGTTCTGTAAATCCACTCCTATAGCAGAATGTGCTGATGTATGTCAGGATGGAAACGGTAAATAAAGTGAAACAAAACAGGTGTTTGTCAGCATTATGTGCTTACCAAAGTCAGGCCAGGAAAAGTAAGTTCTGCACAGAAAATCAGAGCTCGTGTTGCAAAGATTTCTAGCGTTTTGCTAGCTTTGTTTCGCACTGATTTGGGCATTATTGAGTGTTTAATTTCTCCTGAGTTTTAGGCTTTGATAAATGTTTGAATAATTGACCTGTCAGTCAGATCAGGAGGGGCCAAGCCGTTTCTGCAGGCTGAGTTCAGTTCCTCTGCTTGCAGGGAGCAGCACGGCCTGTATAGTAGTTCTGGACAGAACAAGTCATCGTTTACATACAGCCAACCTGGGAGACTCTGGGTTCCTGGTGGTCAGGGGAGGAGAGGTCGTGCATCGATCCGACGAGCAGCAGCATTACTTCAACACTCCGTTCCAGCTCTCAATAGCTCCTCCAGAAGCAGAAGGAGTTGTCTTGAGTGACAGGTAAGGTGGGAAAGGAACTGAAGGTTTTCAGCTGTGCCTGTGACCAGCTCCCAGAATTCTGCAGTTTTGCTGCTGTGAGGCTCTTCCGTAGCGCGTGGGGTTGAAACACACACCCGGGCAGGTCTCACACCTGCCACCTCTCTCTTGAGGCAGTGTGAGCCTTTATCACCTTGTGCTCAACCTTGTACCTGCTGCACAGTCTGAGTGCACTGGGCCAGTGATTATTCATCCATGGTAGCACATTCCCATGGCTGTGGGTGTGCTGTGATCCGCGGCGAGACGTTGCTCCCTAAAGCTGTGTGTGTGCTGGTCAGCCTGGACAAGTGGCTGGTCCTACCAGCAGCTCTGCTTTCCTCTCCTTGTCCGTGCTCCCTTGAGACTGGAGTAGCTAATTTAGCTGTCTTGGCACTGAGGTAGCAAGTGCTTGGAGAACAGAGCAGAGGGACATGTGACTGTAACTTGTGTTTCCGACTGTTTCCCGCAGCAGATTGAATTTGACCAAAACGAGCAAAAAAACTGTTTGGCAGAACACCAAGCTGGGAATGAGAGTATTGGGAAAGGACAATCTGTTCACAGAAATGAGTTGCATCAAAGGCAGGTTTGTTCCTGTGTCTTCCCCTAAGAGTGTCAGGCTGATCCACCCTGGCTATGTGAAGTCTTAACAGTAATAGGGAATAAATTAAGCAGCTTTCAATTATGTGTTAAAATACAGCTCTCAAAAATGCTTATTCACTCATTAAAGTCATATCCCTCACTGGAATGTAGGGAGATGGTAAGAGGATCTTCAAGGAGTGCCCATGGCATACAGGGAATGCAGAAGGCAGCTAAGTGCATTCTCAAGTGAACTTGAGTCTCTTCCAGCCTAAAGGTTCTATGCAGTGTCAAGGCTGATGCAGTGAAGGTTATGACTTTAATGCCAAAATAGCTCACTTTGAAGACGTTGGTGGTTGAAACTCCTGACCATCCTTGCACGTGGTTCTATTTCTTCTTCATATGAGAGGGTAGAACTCTGAAATTAGAACCCTTCAGTAACCTTACTTGTTCAGAACAAAGATGATTTGAAGTTCCAGAGCTGTAAAAAAATCTGAATTTTTCAGAGAGTCTGTCATCCGTGGCAAGATAAAAACACCAAAAAGCAGAAGGATAATTGGTAATGTCCAGTGGAAGTCAGGGAAGCCAAGGAATCTGAGTCATCCCGTAATAAGGAAAGCACAAGATAAATGTGCTCCCACACTTGAGCTCTGAATCATTATTACAGCTCTGGCTGGTTCCTGCTCTGTTCCTGACGCTAATTAGTACTCATGTGCCTTGTGGAAATGCTGCTCCAGTCCTCTTTCATTTGTTGTCCCAGTTCAGTGTTGGATTTGGCTATATATGGGCACAGGCAATCTTAGCTCCATCAGCCTTCCCAGGGCTACACATCAGCTGAGCAAAGCAGCCCCAGGGCCCATTGCAGCAGCTTCTCCTGTTCAGAGACCCTGGGGAGTCTTTACAAAGGGAAGGGCTGTTGTGCTGCTTCAGGGAATCAGATTTTGCAGCAATGTTTGTGGTCAAACTGGGTGTTTTCTCTTGGTGGTGTGCAGTGTGTTAGACACAAGTATTCCGACAGGCTGTGGACTCCTGACAGCAGCTTCCAGATGTGTTTCATATTCCATTGGCTGAGAAAGTGATTCAGAGTCCTGAAGTGCTCTGGCCATGCCCATCATGGATTGTCCTTGCTCTCACACACCTAGGAGGAGTGAGGGAAGCCCTGAGCTGCCGTTCTGCTTCATGGTTTCCATGGAGATCCACTCACGCAGCAGATTAGTTTGCAGGATTGTTCATTTGGGAATTCTAAATGCAAATCCTCGGTGTATTTAATAGCTGGAACATTACCTGTTTGCAGTCACAGAGCTGCTGTTGGAGCTTTCCTGACAGGCCCTGCTGGTGCCACAGCTCCAGGGTTAGGGTGATATTTGTCCCTTGACTCCTCTGTCCCTTCCAGCCCCGACGCCGCCGATAGCACATCCTTCGACGTGCAGCTCGGGGACATCATCCTGACGGCCACGGACGGACTGTTTGACAACATGCCTGACTACATGATCCTGCAGGAGCTGAAAAAGCTCAAGGTGAGTCTGTGTCCCCCAGATCTTCCTCATCTTTTGTTCCTGTTAGACCTGTGCAGTTACTGCCCTTACTTTTTACACACTGCTGAATAAAAGCCTCCCCACGCGCTCTGTGGTTTAAAGGCTTCTCACGTCGTGCCCCGTGTGAGCAGTGGGCAGGGATGTGACCCCAAGGCTCTGTCTCTAGGACCTGCATCCAGGCTGAGCCCAGAAGCAGCAGCTTGGGCCTGAATTCCTGAGTGGCAGCTGGTTCTGTGTCTCCAGGCAGGGCAGGGGGAGGTGTTCGGTGCAGGTGCTGCCCACACACTGTAGGTGATGTGCAGGACAACAGAGCATCCTCCTGGGGCTTGTTTGAGGGCTGAGCTGAACCCTTAACGTTTTAATTCTCAGCTTTTCCGAAAGGTTCTGAACCAGGAGTTGTGATGTAGCATGGGCTGTCTGAATTGTAGATTGTATGCACTCAGAAGTCTTTACTGCTCTGTTAAAAAAAATCCCTGGCAGCTTTTCCAGGTTAATGACCACAAATGTTCTTTTTTAATAGTAAAAACACATTAAAACATTTTAATTTCGCTAAGAACATTTAGCTCAAGGCTATTTACTTACGGAAAGGCAAGTGTACTCAGGAGATCTCAATATGCATAACCTCCCCGAGGAAACGGTTTTGCTGTGGAATGCAGATCAGGGTAAGAGAGAGAATTGCAGGGTGGTTTGAAGAGTTTGGCCTGCTCTTCCCTGCAGCTGCACAGGTGGCAGGAATGGCCCTTGAGGCAGCGTGGCTGGGGCTGGCTGTGCTCCTCAGCCCTCGCTGCTGCCTCGAGGAGCCTGGCGCTGTCCCTGCTCGCCCTCGGCTGCTCCTGGGGCTGGAATTCCCTGCTGGAGGAAAGCTGAGCTCCACCTTTTGGCCCGTTCGGGAAAGGCACTGGAGTTTCCCGAGAGGTTCAGCCAAAAGTTAATCACATAAATGCCCGCTAATTCCCCGACCTGTGGGGAAGGCTCTTGAAATGACATGGCATTTGAAAACGGCTGCAGACAAAAGAGCAGTGGTTGTCTGTCATGTTGGCTTGGGCAAGGACAGCCCTGGAGTCAAGCAGCAGAGGAGTCGGAGCAGGGGAAGAAAGGCCCTGAAAATGCAGCCTGGAGACAGTGTGTGCTCAGTGCATTTTTTCTCAGCTGACTCTTAAAGTGCCTCTTCTGCCCAAGTGTGGTGTGTCCTTTGGGGTAAAAGGGTCAGAGGTGCAAGACTTGCATTCAGGGCAAAACAAGTCCTCCACCAGAGCCTGTCTGGAAGGGAAGGAGGGAGGGAAGGGCCTGGCAGGGGCACCCCAGGCACAGCTGCTGAGCAGCCTCTGTCCTTCAGGTGAGGTGGTTTAGTTGTTTTGAGTGTTATTCTTCCAAGTTTCTAAACTCAGAAATCCTCCAAAGCCAAGTCAGTAGCTGCTGGCAGGGAGCAGAGCTCTGGCCTTCACGTGTGGAGATTCAGAGTTCTAACCCAAGTTTCTAAGGCCTCAAGGATGGTGAAGGTTCTGTTTGGAAGAGAAGGCCATAAGTGGTGCCCTGACCCAAGACCTCCAGCAGTCAGGGGTTGCCAAACAACTGCTGAGGACTTCCCTGTAGGGATAACCCCTTTTCCTCCCTGGCTCAGAACTCCAACTACGAGAGCATCCAGCAGACTGCGCGGAGCATCGCTGAGCAGGCGCACGAGTTGGCCTACGACCCCACGTACATGTCGCCGTTCGCGCAGTTCGCCTGTGACAACGGGCTGAATGTGAGAGGTAAGAGCTGCTCTCCTCCTCCCACTCCGGCTGGCCTGGGGAAACCTCCAGCAGAGTGAAGTTGTGTTGTCCCGAGCTCTGACAAGGCAGAGGAGTGTGGGGAGCGGTGGTTGGCAGGGGAGCGCCTGGCGAGGCCCCGGCGGAGCGGAGCCTCCCGTGGGGAGCACAGGGAACACAGCACACTGAGTGCTTTATTTTTGATGAGTACATTCCTGCCTGATGTGAGCTCTCTGGGCTCTTGGCTTGCTCCTTGGTGTGTGGGTGGGGTTGGTTTTTAAGGTCTTCTCTTATTGATGCTTTTTGGCTGAGGTTCTGCTCATTATTTGAGCTTTTTGGGTTTCATTGGGTTGGGTGTTTTGAAGCTGGGCTTTTTTTGTTGAAATGTGTGTTCTTTGTACCATTGGCATCCTGATCTCTCCCTTGGGCCTGCCTCCTGTGCTCTGGAGAGACCCTGACTCCTGGCAGGGCTCAGAGCCAGAGCAACCTCCTTTTCCTTCTGGGCCATTTCTCGAGGGTGTGAGTGTGCTGATCTGGCTGGTGAGGATTGAAAAAGCAGCTAACAATGTTAAGCAGCTTTTAGGAAGCCATGAAGGAACACGGTGCTGGAGAAGATGCTCAGGAGGTGTTTGGTTTGCAGGGGAAGGTGCTGAGGAGGTCTGGCCTCGGGGCCGTTTGCCTGTGGCAGAGCAGAGTCAGGTGTTGTGTGCGTTGTGCAGTACACAGGCTGCTGGAAACAGGCTCTGTGTGCTGCCAGCTGAGGGGCTGCCCTGGCTGCAGCTCTGGGGAGGAGCTGGGGAAGCACAGCTCCTGTCTGCACAGAAGAGGCTTTGAGTGTTTCACCCAGTTTGAAAAGAGCTTTCTGAAGGAGAATGTCATGGAGTCATCAAGGCTGGAGGAGACCTGAAGGATCATCAGGTCTAACCATCAACCTGTCACTACTGTAACCCCTAAACCATCTCCTCCAGCACCAGATCCAGACACCTCCGCAACACCTCCAGGAATGGTGACTCCACCACCTCCCTGGGCAAACCTGTCCCAATGCCTGACCTCCCTAACAGGGAATAGAAGGTTGTCAGCAGGTTAGCAGTGAAAACACGTTGCAGAAGACAGCCCACTGTGGTTTCATGACACGAGTGGTGTTTTTCTTCCGCTGCAGGGGGCAAACCAGACGACATCACCGTCCTGCTGTCCATCGTGGCCGAGTACACAGACTGACGGCCGGGGGGCCGCCCTGGCCCCGAGCTCCCGGTGCCACCGTACGGTTTCCTGCTGGCAGGATTGCTCTCTCCTCCCCAGCTGTCCTGAGACGCAGCTGCTGTCCTTGTAAGAACCACTCCTAGTGCACTGGTCGTGGTCTGCCAGCCAGAGGTGACGACGCTCGCGGCTCGGAGCTCGGAGCGCGTCTTCGGGAGCTGAGTCGCGGGGGCAGGATCCACCCGCGTCGCTACGGAGATGGGACTGTCCAGGGAGTAGGATTGGTTTCTCATCTTGCAGACTAGACCCATAGGTAACACCTCTGCACGAGGGCTCATTACTCTTTGCTAGGAGTGTTCGCTGTTGTCCGAGGGTGTGTCACAGCCCAGTTCCACGCGCATAGTCTTGTTCGGTGATAGCCAAGGCCTCGTGTTCCTGAGCGCCAGTTTTCAGGAGATTTCTAACTGCTGTAAACATTCTGCTCTTGCCATCCATGGTGTCAGCCTAGGAGCCTTTTCTAGTACGAGATTTCAAACAAAAACCTAGTTCAAGTTATATGGATGCAAATGTGTTTTGTGATTTCAGGTGCTTAACTGTGATGTTAAAAAGTTCTGCAGATCATTTGTCCATCCTGGGCCTGGTTCTGGATGTTCTGGCTGTGGATAATGATTGTCAGTTTTCAGGCAGAAGTGGTAGCTCGGTCTGGCGTGGCAGAGCTGGCACAGCTGAGGTCCTCTCTGAGCCCACCTCGGCGCAGGGAGATGGTACAGCAACAGCTCATCCTCAGCTCCCAGCGGCCTGACCTGGGGGAGATAATTCTGCTGTTGAAACCTGATTTGTGTTAGTACTTGCCATTCTCAGTGGTAGGACAGAGTGGCCCAGGGGAGCCCTCTGACCCCACGGTCACCTATTGGCTGCTGCTGCAGCAGGGCCCGAAACACAGACCGAGCGAGCGATCAGCAAACGTGACATTTCAGCAACTAAAGTTTGGGAGTTTCAATGAACCTTAATGATGTTTACAGTTATCTAACAGCCACTTTGCAATATGACATTTCCCTCTGAATGGCAGTAGCTCACGTTTGTTCCCCTCTTCCAGCAAGTTTTCCTTCCCCTTTCCCGAGGTTCACGTGGAAACTGAGAGCTGTAAAGATATATATATTTTTGGTCAGTTTTTCATTAACTTTTTTGCTGGTAGAAGAGTATGTAGAAATAAATTAAAGCCATGTTTTTATATATGAAGAGTCGGGTAATGTTGCTGTTAGGTGAGTGCAGTCAAACTTGGTCAGTAAGGAATCTTACCTGCTCTCGAGAGGAGATTTTTACTACCTGGTTTATTGTATTAAAACTGTTTAAGTTTGAGGTTACCTCAACTCGTTTAAAGACTTTTTGTGGACTTGTACTGTATATTTGCGTAACTATGTCGAGCTTTTATTTAAGGTCATTTAACATGTACCATGTACATGTCATTACTATATCTCAGCACGTCGTGCTTGTAACAGGCATTTCATCTGCAGCGAGTGATTCATTTGGGAGCTCTTCAGTGATTTATCTGCTATTCCTCAATTGGCATAACGTTAGCTATCTACTTTCAATCACCTTGTAATTACTTGTCAAAATGCCTTAACTACCCTAACTTGACCAAAACAGGATTTTGGTGAGGGGATGGGGAGGATTCTGTGAACGGAGAAAAGTTGGGGAGGTTGGTGACACAGGAGCAGTGGGTGGGGAGAACTCTACCCAGTCTGTCGGTGCTTGGTGTTGGTGAGCTGAACACGCTGTGCCCGGCAGGGTGTGATCCTGCACTGTGCTGTGCCCTGCTGGGTGTGATCCTGCACTGTGCTGTGCCCTGC